CAGTGCTCCTCGTGGACCTCGGATGCTTCTAGCGAACTGCACCCCCCCCCGCCCCCCCAAAAAAAAAAGAATCAATTAAGTAGATTACGTTATTAGATAGATAGATATTTTGCAAGTCGAAGAAAGAGAGAGAGTAAAAAAAATAGACGATACATGGAAAATTTGATAGCTGAACCGTGATTATTGAAGTATCCATTGACGTTCAATAGTTCTTGTTGACATATATGTATATTAAGTATTATAGGCGTTAGTAGACTGTCTGAAGCAATAAAATACATTGAATACTTTCTCTTTTCATCTTGTTTATATCATGCTTTTGAAATGATTCTGTTCAACGAAGGAATCGATATATATATATATGCATATGAATGGTATGCATGCATTATTTCACTAGAGAGTCAGCATTCTCTCATATGCATTTGATCAGTCTGGAATGAAGAATGATACTAGTAGTAATATCAGTAGCAATAGGAGTGGGGAATAATATATATGAATTGTTAATGCTATATTTTTTTGTTATGTTTATAGTTTGTTATACCCTTATGACGTCAAAATATATTATATTTGTTGTTCATATGATACAAAGTTTTCTCTAGTGATTTGTAAACTTGAACATTCAATAACAAAGTTTTATTATTAATCTAGTATATGAAAACAAGTTATTATTTTTTTCCTTGATTTTGTTTTTGTATTATAAATAGCAAAAAAAAAAAATCAAGGCTGGTTGGAAACATAATATCAAATATCATAACTGATTGTTTCCTTTCAAGAAATCGCAAGCTGTAATATTTGTCAATACTTTGGTATGTGTATATTGATCATTTCTTTTTTGTAAATAGAATAGACACATACATACCTTTCGTATGAGTATACATATATTTTTCTTTTCATAGTTTTGATGTATTGAAAGATAAGCTTGTCACAAATGGTTTATTCATATTAATAGTATCAAATATTCTTGTCATATTTTGTTTTTTCTACTAGTCTGTTAAATCATTATTCATCATAATGTACTTCGACATCTTTACTCATACACTTCAATTTTTTTTTATTACTCTAACCATACTCTCTATTTACATTGCCATTTTGTCCATGAGTTCATTCATTTAGTGTAAAATTGATTTGTTTCAAATGAATATCACCTTTCATTGTAAGTGATAGTAACAACAATGAGTATCTAAACGAATATCAACATGTCTTCTCTCTTTCGTTTTAATATTATTCGTATGATTGATTACAAAGGAATAGTGAATAATGAGAAAAAAAAAACGTAAATTTATCTCTCTCATGTCTCAATCTATTAATAATAAGAAATGACACAGGTGCAATGAATAATAATAGCAACGATGATAATGATAAAGTGAATAAAACCTTGGAGTATTAGCTTCCTGATAGACATCCTCTTAAACATAAGACCTTGAGAATAACATACACATTACTTGCTCACATTTTTTTTTCTCTCTCTCTCGATCCTTTTTCTAGCAACAATCGTCGCGGCGTCGCTATGTCATCATTGTTCCATGCTTCGTGAGCGTTTTTTTTTTTGTCCCGATTCTACAAATGGAGGAAGACGAAGGTCAACATCAACAGTATTGCTTTTGGCACAGAAACTTTGTGCCGGTTCAGACGTACACGCACATTGACATATATAGAGCGATGGAGTTCTCGTTCGTCATCGTCCTTCGTTTTTCTCCTCCGCGTTTTTTTCTTTCTCTAAGCGTACACAATTGTTGCTCATAGGCAAACTGAAGATGCGAAGGGGTTGTTGTCTATTCTATTTTGTACTGTATCTTAGCCAACAGTCATCGGAAAAATAACTGCGTAGTTGGCAAGAACGATAGTATGAGTAGGAGGAAGATACATACATATATATAAAGACGGGTTGCTTATTTACAAATATGTAAGTAGTTATTGAAAGCTTATATATTATTACAATTATTCATCTTGATCATACTCACGCTGAATCACACAGGCACAAACAAGTTATCATCAGTCACTAGGCAGGTAAGACGTGAATAATGAAGGTCAAATATATTTGATTGACAAGAAACGGCTGGATCTGCCTTGACATATACATCTGGACGAAAAGAAAGTTTTTTCCCAGAAGATCATCTCATTTTTGATCACGTTTCTATTTCTTTGTCAGCATCCTTATAGATGATATAGGCAAAGAAGACCAAAATGACACGTTCTAAATAATTGTCAATTTCCGTCTCTGTTTGCCAGAAAAGTCTTCGACTGTTCAGACTTTTTTTCCCGTTCTTATCTTCTTTTTCTGTTTCATTATGCTTAGTTGGTCTCTATATTCATGTACGCGCCTTTGTACAATGAGTAATTCTCTTTTTTTTTTTCGAATTCACACATATGAGTAAAAAGGAAAGCTGAATCGAGTTAAGAGCAGCTGTATAGTATTGAGTATTGCGTCATCATGAGTATTCTTTCTTTTTATCGTCCCACACATTAAGAGGAAAATCATGAAATTAAAAAAAAAAACCATGAAACGACGTACATAGACAGTATAACATCACTGTATATAACAAAAGTCGTTTTCATTTAAAAATTCAGACATGTTTGAAAATCACTAGTGAGTCTTTTTTTTATTAATATTTACATTATTATTATGATTAGCATGATTCTTATTTTGATTGGAGATCCATCATCATTATTCATATTAATCAGATGTTTTACTCTGTAATAAGGATATGCTTCGTAGTATGTGATTAAGAACAGAAACGAAGAAGGAGAAAAAAAAAATAGATGAAGAAAAAGAATGAGAATAACATTGAATGGATATCAATAATAAAAAATGATAGGTAGTCGACACATATTATTTTCTCCCTTTTCACACATTTTTCAAAGGCTTTTTTGTCTTTTATTAATATATAACATTATCAGTAGTCTAAAACAAAGCAAGTGCATAAACATTTAGTATCTTGAAGTGAGTTATATTCACCTTGACCTAATCTTTTATGATAGTGGGAAAAGAAAGTCACATGGCATTCACTCGATTACAGATATACGTTTAGGCCAAAAATTCTGTTGATATTTCAAAATGAGCGCATAGAAGAATAAAACAATAGAATGAAACTGAGATGCTTAGAAAAAAAAAACCACCAAAGTAAAAGAACGAACGAACGAACGAGAGAAAAAAAAAAGAAAATAAATAAATCGTTTTTTATGTTACAATCAGCACATTTTTATGATGACACAACATTTGTATATAAAAAAAATTAATTGTAACATTGGTAAGTGTTTGATGATTCGTCTAACAGTGTTTTTTTTATTATATCAAGGATAGTCAATCAATCTGTTGCATCTTCCCTCCTCTTTTTTTTTTATTAATATTAATTATCTGTTCAGTGCTTTCTTTGCGTCTTATAGAAAAGTTGCTTTTAATGGCATAATAATATGAGACGAACTCAAGTAGAATAAAAATTGATCTCTTATACTAAGGTCAATAAGGGCACAAAGAAAATATTTTTCTTTCTGCATTTTAGATTATTAATGGCAACGTTTTATATTTATTTATTTCTCGTATCATTATCATTAACAAAATCATGTGATGTATTTGTTGGTATGTCATGTACCTGTTATGAATCCATTGATATACGTTGTACAATGTCAAAAATAGCACCATTAACATTAATGTCATCATCTGTATCATTAACGAAAAAATTTGATTCAATTGATTTAAAATTTGATTCCGATGAGAATATGGAACTAGATAAAAATTATTTTATGATTTTAAATGAACTTCTTCCAACTGTATCAAACGATCCTTTAACAATTACATTACGTTTTCAAGATTTTCGATCATTTCATGCTAAATCATCATCATTTTCTCAATTATATCATGGAATAACATCTCCACAAAAACGCTTAATCGTTGAATTACATCCAGTAAAAGCAAAATCAATTACATTTGATCGAAATAGTTTTGATAATCTACATATTCATGAGCTTTCTATTTTTGCTGATTCATTAACATCACCATTTGAATCCATATTTAATAATGCAAATATAACACATTTAAATATTGAAGGTGCAATTGTCACACATGATCCATTATTATTAAAAGACTATACTGGTAATATACAATCATTAAAAATTACTCGAATGATTGATATTATTAATAGTGAAGAATTTCCACCATTTCCAGTTAAATCTTATACAATTGAAGCACATAAAATGCGAACATTAGATGCATTATCATTTATAAATTATAAACAATTAACAGGTTTAAATATAATTCAACCAGATGTATCAATAACACCAAAGATTTTAAATGGTTTAGAAAATATTCCAACATTAAAATCAATGTCATTCGATGCTGAACGTATTGCTGATGGTGCTTTAAAACATGTTAAACATATTGAAACATTAATACTTGGTACATATACAAAAATGTTAGATACAGAAAGTTTAAATTCTCTTAAATCATTAAAACAATTAGATGTACGTTATGTACAATTTTCTACTTTACAAGCAAATACAAGTTGTTCTTTAGCTGATTATATTAATCGTCGACGTATGATGGGTTTAACTGTTTATTTACCAAATGAAAATCCATATTGTGATTGTATTTTAGTTTTTCTTAATAATATGGTTGATGATGGTTCACAATTAATAAAATGTCAATCAGCAAATAATGATCGTTGTTTATTTTCATCATGTTCAATTGTATCAGAATATTTTACACGTAAACAAAAAGAAGATATTGAAGATCAACAAAAATTAAATACACCATCAGTTATAACACCAGCACAATCATTACCAATTGTAAGACCATTTGTACCACCATTAATTGATTTAAATGATAATGATTCACCATATTATCCAGATGAAAATATATTTCAACAAGAAGAACAAACAACAACTACTACAATAATAAATCCTATTGATATTAATATTTATGATGATGAAGATGTAATGACGAAAAGTACAAATATTATTTCAACAACAAAGTTATTAGTATTTAATCCAGATGAATCAGAAAATCAATTTTCAACACCAGTAATGAAACGTATTCATCCAGATCCTAAAAAAAATCAATCAAGTAAATACTTAGTTTTATCATGGATACCATTCGCTATAATAGCAGCGTGTCTTTTTCTTTCATTAATTATTGCTATGATAAGTTATGTTATCTATCACAAACAACGTACTGCCTCGTTTAAACTTGTCCCACAAGCAGCACCAATCGTCTAAATAATATATTAAACTCCATATTATTGGGTCAGATCTAGTCAGAAAAAGTGGGTATATCGGAAAGACAATCGAAAATACGAGGTCAGATAAGATGATTTCACTTATCAATTTTTCATATACACCTACACTTACATTTGTGATATGATAATTAGTTAATCGTAACAGTTTCTTTCTGTTTATGAATTTGTATTTTGTTCCATTATAATAATAGTTGATCAGAAACTTTCTCATCATGTTAGAAAAAGTCACCGTTCAGTATTCTCACATTTTCATTTGTGGTTGTGTGTGTGTGTGTGTGTGTGTGTGTATTTATTTTGTTCTTTTTGTTGCTAGAAAGTTTTTGTATCAATGAAATAAATTATATATACAAGAATACATTTCCCAACAAAATTATTGTTGAATTTTTTCTGTTTTCTTGATTAGTTAGTGTTGACATTATTCCATCCGATTATTTAATATAATTATTGAATATTTTATTTACGACGAAGATAATTGAATTGTTTCCATCATTTTAAATTCATATTTTATTCAACAAATCGATTACAATGCTGCCAAATCAAGCCGAAAGCGATTCATATCTATGAATTATGAAGCCTAATAATTTATGATCGTTTAATTCAATAATAGAATGTTGACAAAACGAGAAGTTTTGTTTCTAAAAATAGATATTTGATTCAAATATCTAGTTTCTTTTATTTTTGGAAAGTTTAATTAACAATGACTATTTAAATGTACATTATGTATTTTTAGATTTATTTAACTAAATAAGTATCCTAGAAACAATTGTATTAATCATTCTGTGAAAAAAAATTATTTTCAAATACTCCTACACATATTTTTTATTAACACAATGGTAATATGATCTGTAAAGATTAATGCAATGTTTTCAAGTTGTTTTTATGATTCATCTTGTTTTGATGTTTTTTCTTTAATGTAAAAATAGAAACGAAACTAGCTTATGCAAACTTTTTCTTCGATATAATTTCATGATGTTTGTTTTTCTTTTTGAGAGACACGTTGCATTTATTTATTGAAAGAACGAAAAAAAGAATACATGAAAAAGATTAACATTTTACTTTAATACACATTCAAGGGTATCCCTTTCTCCTTCTTTTCGGACGTAAAAATCAAAATTTTGCTGTTTATTATTGATATATGTATGTATACTTTGATATGTTCTCTACTGATATGCAAGAAAAGAAACTTCTTCTGACAACATTTTGACCTTGAAAATAACTGAGTTGGGCAAGTACGCACTTTCTTGCGAAAGAGTACGTAAGGATCAGTTGTCTAAGACCTAACTAGAGTAAATTTAATTAGTAATTTTAGAAGTGACATATCAATTTTGAGATTGAGACATTTTAAGAATCTTAAATCAATATATTGTTATTATTATATTTAAGAAAAGTAAGTAAACATGCATTTTTTAAGATCAACAATGCACAATGTGGATGCATTAAAAAACTACTCTGGAGAAATATTCTTTCAGTAGGAGCTGCTGTAGTCTACACTGACAGGTATTTCAAAAAATATTAAGTTCAACCAAAACTTTTAGTTTATTATCAAAAGAAGTGTGTGAGTGTGGATTTTGAGCCTTCTTTTTACTGACATTCCACCGACACTTGTATCCTTATTGAGACGCAACATCTCAGCAACAAATTTATTTTATTCAGTAAGAATGAATTGCGTATACGAAACGAAAGAAGAACAATACAATATACACATACTAGTCGGTTATCTACAGCATACTATGTTATCAGTAAAAAGAGAACAACAAAAAAACAGAGTGCGCCTGTTGTTACACTATGGTGTGACATCTATGTATTTATCTGGATGCATATATGCATAGAATAAAAGGAGAAATCAGCTGTTCATTCTATCCTCGGAAAGAATAAACTATAATTTTATCAAACTTCATTTTGATATAATACATACTTATTTAGAATTTCGATTACTCAACCCTTGAGTACTTTGCCCAGCTCTGAAAAAGAATGACTTTCGAGACGTTTCTATCTCAAAAAACTTAATTTTTACTTTTTTTTTCTAAAATTTTTGTGTTTGCATTAAATTTACTGGTAGTTAACTCATTTTTAGTTTATAATCATATTAAAATCGCATACCGAGATGTGTGCGATATTATTTGACTTCTGTTTGAGATAGATAATAGAAGTTATTCAAGAAATGATCAACATTACAAAACGAAAAGTTCTCGACATAACACTTATTTGTTATATTCAAGACCATTTCTAAACGCTGATTGAGAGAAGTCAATATTTTTAGAATGTTTTACTCTCATTTTTTTTTTTCATTGACTATTTCATTTATTTCTTTTTTCCGTTAGTAATAAAAGAGAGGTATGTAGAACAAGACATATATTATTCGTGCGTGTCAGTATACGAGCATCTTGAAGGCATAAACAAACGTTCTCTCTCAAAATAGAAAACTACAGTAGGTCATCGAATTTGCACTAGTAAAAAAGCTTTAAACCCTTAAAGAGAAAGAAACAAGACGAGTATTTAGGAGAAAGTCGGAATTCAATTTTGTTTTGCTTTCGTTTCTCTAACATGGTCAAACGGATGAAGCTGAAACTTTTTTCACATATATTATAGTCGCTATTCAGTATGGGATGGTTTTTTTTTATTTGAAAAACTATTGCTCTAGTAAAATTTTGGCAGCTTTTACAAAATTTGTCATAGTGAAAAAGAACCAAGCGTTTTCAGGGTACACCTTGTATTCTGATTTTCTTATCGAAATAAAAAGTAATATTAGGGAACCAAAACGAAATACACATCCCAAAGAGTATTCAGTACCAAAAAGAAAGATTTTCAACTCGATCAAATGTAGTATTTCGGAGAAATGAGGACAAAAAGAGGAATCATTTTGACCAATCATGAGTTTAGTATCTCATAGAAAACGGTATTTGAGAGCTTTAAGTTTAGCACAATCTGTACTCCACTTTTCAATATCTATTTGCTCCTGAAAGTATCAAATTTTTCTAATGAGTCGTTCTCCAGCAAGCTAGGAAACAGGGAGAAAGGTAATCTTTACGTAACTGTGCGTTTGTTGACAAGCTTATATCAAAATACAGATATTTCTTTTTTTCTGATTTTTGTTGGTATTTAGAAATTCGACAGTTTTCATTTTTCGGAGCATGTTTACACTTATCAGTTTATTTATTGATCTATCTGAAATAATTCATTCATTTACATAAACTACTACATTTTCCAAACATCATCATTTTATTATTGCGTATGTCATGGATACAATATCAGATGATGAACTTTTATACTTTGGTTCAATTCTAATAAATTTAGCTTATCACTCTGGTTCAGTTCATCGAAGCCATTTCGATTCTGTAGATGAACTTCGATTTCAAACTTGCAAAGATGAATTTGCTATGCATTCAATGCCATCAAGAACAACATTACCAATGGATGATGACTATCATGAATTGGTTCTTCCATGTATGCCAACAACTTTTATTAAAATACCAATAACTACAGATGAACTACAATCTATAGATAATGATTTTAGTCGACCACTAATTAAAACAAAACTTCCTAGCTGTTTAAAAGCTATTGTATCTGGTGCTCGATCTGCTCTAATAAAATCTAATTCATCTAAATGGTATCGGTTAAAAGGATGTGGTGATAATACAGATGGCTTTTCAATTAAACCTATTTCAAACACAAGTACAAAACTAACTATTCGTGGATGTTCTTTTCTTCATACAACTTATCGAGAATTATTTATGACATACTATATAGCACATCTACTTGCTCCACATCATATTGAATGTGCGAATGTTCCTATTGGTTGGTTTGAGTATAAATTAGAACATGAAAATTCTGACAATACTTCTTCTGATATTCCAATCATACAAGATACAAATTTAAATCAATGGTCAAATATTGTACGTTGTTGTATTATTATGGAAACATTAGGTAATAAACGTTTATCTGATCATGTTTTATATGGTCTCGAACAATTATTTGATTTGATTATTTGTAATAATAAGAAATCACATCCTGTTAATCAATCTAATCTAATATCATTATTTCCATCAGAACGTTTAACTAAATCAGAACAAAATAATGAACAATTTATACCTTTATCAACATGGTTTGCATCATTAACAAATATAATTCAACCAATTGATTATCAAAATTCAAATTGGCTTCATATATCATCCTACTTTTCTGATGAAATACCTTCAGATATCGATGAAAATCGATGGAAAGTTTTATGGAAAACTAATATTGAAATTATAAATAATTATTTACAAACACGAGAACCATTAGCTAATCTTTTATGTTCACTTTATAAACGATTTGGTTTTGAATGTGGATCAATTCTTGGTCTTATACATTATCATCATATAAGTTGGGGTACTTATACAGATGAATTAGGTGTGCATTGTAATGCTCATCCAAACAATTTAGTTATTAGATTATTTACTGCAACATCATCCTTCTTATTAGCACCGTTAGATTTTGATATGAGTTTTACAGAAGTAAGTTATTTACCTAATGAAAACAATAATCAATCATTTGATGAGTTAATCAAATTAGAATTATTGGCTTTTCAATTAACATTAAGTGGAGATTCACAAGCCAGTAGTGGTGTAACAGCTTGGATAGAAATGCCAGATGATCAATGGACAAGTGTTCGTTGGTTGCTGAGAGATATTATGTTAAACGAATTCAATCGAGTCTATAATGAAACTATTCAAAATGGATCTATTAAATCATTTGATTCATTTTCTAATGAACAAAATGATGTCCTACAATCACTGATTCGTCTTGCTCTTATAAAAACAATGAAGGAAATCGGTTAAGAAAAAAATGAATTTTTTGTTTTTCTTTTGAGTCATACACTTCATTTTATTATTTTAACACTTATAATTTTCTTTCAGATAAAGCATAAATAATAAGCAATACTTGGTTGTGTGATGATTTTTTGAAAAAGAAAGAAAATTTTTTTTTATCCTCAACATGATTACTTTGTGTTTGCTAATAATTCAAAGATATCATGAAAAATAAACAAACAAAAAATTTGTCAATGTAAAATATAACACATTGTTCTACTCCCACACACACACTCCACTCCTACACCATCATTGCTTTTAAGAGGATATATTGTTTGAGCTTCATCAATGAAACGACGTAAAAAATATTGTACGTATGTTCCAGCTGTTTGAAAAGTAGGTAACCATTGCACTTTTTCGTTGCAAGTATCCCATCAATTGTTTATAAGTCAATAAATTTGTCGATATTTTTACTTCAATTGTTTTAATAGTGCCAAGCGACAAAAAACAAACAGCTAAATAGTATAAATAAGTTGAAAATAAGATAAGATAAACACATTAAAAGTTAGTTAGTGTGCTGTTCGTGAGCATATACAAGATCGAGCGAGATATTTGAGTATAGTTGAATTAATCTAAACTTTCTTAAGTATTTTAGTGTAATTTTTGTTGAATCATTAAATATTGCATATTATTCTCAAAAACAGTGCGAGGCCACCATGGAAAAGCTGTAATTATGGTAGCAAAGCCATCGGCATACAGATCCTAGCGAGCAATGGATGGAATTTCTTAAGTTAGTGTATAGTGAAATAATAGAATTGATTCAAAACATAAACCTTGAGAAACTCCTTTTACAATGTTAAAGATGTTGAACGTTAGATCATTCACAGTTCAACAAAACATTCTCGATTCGTCAAATATTCTGCGGCAAAGTCAATTAATTCTTTCGTACACATTACTTAAACATGGTAAGAGTGGTATAAGTTGCGTTCTATTTATCATTAAAATGGTTGATATATATTTGGGTAATAAAATCATCTTTAGTAATCTCCAGTGCTGAGAATGTTTATTATGAATAAGTAACTGGTTAAAAATTTGAAGAATAAAAGCATAATGAGAAATTTAAACCGATTTTTAACCATTTGTTGAAGACTTTTTCATGTTCATTTCATGTCTTTGTTTTAAGGCCCGAATTAATTGATTGTAGATCAGCAATGCATTATAAAAATGGTTTACATGGAAGTTCAGTGAGTTTTTATGATAATGATATTCTAAACTCAACAACTTCTTGATTTTAAAGAGGTGTTTCAAGTTCTTTGAACATTTTCAAATAATATTCGAAAGCATGTTGTATCATACATAGAGCATTCCAAAAGTTTTTTCGTCCGGCTCTTTGAAAAGCCACAATTTGAATGCAACTGTCCTATCATAATACTTAGACATGCTAAGGATTCTATGCAAAATCTCGGACTCGCAATTCTCGCCATTCGTTATATTTTTAGATCATTATCAGACTACTGTTACGGTAGTTTTCAGATACATTTCGAATCCTCATAGCAACACTGTCCAATAATCATTTAACGTCACTACCAACTTGGGCTAACTGATGAGAAGAGTCATGCGCGTTGAATATGCGTAAAATGGAACTTAATACATTCAAGTTCTACAACAATCAATTCATTTCATCAATTTAGTTGTGCCTCCATTCAGATCGTCTCCAGCTGCTGTAGTTGAGCAACGTTTTAATGCTGTACCAGCAACGACGAACCGTGATTCTGATTGAATAGACAAATGAATAGAGGATACTTTGACCATCATTTCGTCAGTGTTTATTTCGATTCATTTTTTGTAACTAAAATCGGACAAAGTTTTGTTTTCTATCAGTACATTTTCAGCTCATTGATGACTGAAACCAATTCCATATTCAAGTGGGTTGTTATTTTCTGAAAGGATTTGGAGAGACCAATGTCCATCTTCGATGGTATATTATCACTAGTCATAACTAATCGTTTTATCATAATGATAAAAATAGAATAAAGTAGTCAAAAATCAGAGGGTCAAGAACTCATTCACAAGCTGACAGGGATTATCGAAACAAAGGACCAAATAGACAAATCATGCGAAAGATTTTTCACGAAATCTAATTAAACTAACATAAGCTCATATCAAAAGAATCTATTAAACGGAAGTCTCTTTGTTAATAGCTGCCTAACGTAACTTTTCAAACTAACTCAGCAGAGTATAATAGAGGACCGATCATTAAAGTCTCAACTTTTACTGTAAGAATGTTAGATCACGAAGAGGATTGAATATCTCCAAAGTGTTAGCAGAAGACCACAACAAATTATATCCAAATTTAGCATATTCTACAAAACCAATCTCGTGCGACAGTTTTCCGCTTTCAAAACTCAAATATCAACCGTTTTGCAATTGGATTCACGATCAACAAAACAATATTACATGTTTGAATACAACTATTCACCAACCTCACAATAGACTATCTAAAAAATCACTATTCTACGCTTGTATGATCGAATACACAGGTACATTGAGGATAGTGGGCAACACTTTGAAAAACAACATTAGAATCAGATTTTGAGCGTTTCTCTAAAGAGCTGTTGAAAAAACTTTTGGAGTGCCCCTTGTAGTAATGATCTGACTTGCATGGTTTGATCGATTTCAGTAATTTCTGATGATAATTGATTTGAATCGATGATGAAGTCAATAATACATTGGGAGTGAGTTTATGTTGGCTGTGAAGTAGTGTATATTTTCAAGCTTTGGATCGAATTAACCCACTCGTTTAGTAGATACCCATTTATGTTCATAGTCATACCATAGTATCGGGGATGTCGTATGTTCAGATCACCAACTAGAATTAAATTCAAGTTATGTTCGTGTAAGTAGTTAAAACTATCAGTAGGCAAAGTTTCAAATGTTGGGAGATACACTAAAAACTCGGTTTATTACCAAGCTTAAAAAGAGGTTTAGAAGCTTGCTAAACCTGTTTTTAAGTTCGGTAATGAACCGAATTTTTTTAGAGTGTAGAGAATGATGATTGTGTATTGTTTGTTTTTGTTGAAGATGTCCATAATAATCAAGTTCTTGATGTTAATGAGTTGAGAGATGAATTAGTGAGGCATCTGATGAGAGATGACTAAGCAAACTCCACCGTATTTACCTGATTCATGTTGAACATAAATAGTATAATGAGATTTGAAAAAGTTAGCTAATCGATATTTATCATCGTTTTGGAAATGAAAGCCTGTTAATACTCATACAGTTGAATGGAATGAAAAAAGATATTTAATGAGATCTCTAAGATGAGTAGAGAGCTCGACGAAATGATTCTACGATTACCCATATCTGTTGACAATGAGTAAGCCTAGTCGAATTAGGTATATACCCAAAATAGTAAACTATTATATGCTTGCCAAAGAAAAATAACAGGGACTTACTTTTCCAATTTTAAGCCTCTTAATTGAATTTCGCACATTTGTAAAAAATTTTGTAAAGTATTCATAGAAAACTGAGGGTCAACGCTTTTAAAACGAATTGCATCGAAATTTTGTAAAATTTTTCCCTTAACAATAACATGTCATATTGTGCAAGATCTCACGTCTTTGATTGAACAGATTCGACCGTCATTTATTGCCTGGAATAGCTAATATTCGAAATCCAATTAACAGCTTAAAATTGGAAAAGTACGTTCCTGATATTTTTCTTAGACAAGCATATAAAAGTCTAATATATTGGGTATATACGTAACTCGACTAGACCTGCTCACTGTCAAAAGATATGGATGATCGTGGGTGAACGTAGAGTCAGCTTGTCGAGCTCTATCTATTCATGGTATCATCTCTAGATTTGGAGGCGATCATGGGCAATTGTGTCTTTAACAAATACTCAAACGATTGTATATAATGCGCTTGGATGCCAACTGGTAGTCTGTAACTACTATGAGATTGAATGAGCATAATTGTATTGATGGTGTAACGCCAGTTTGTAAGTCACGAATTTACGGTGTATTTCACATAGCTTCTGACGTCAAAATAGTGCAAGCACGGTCTGTTTGTCAATACTTTAAACATGGGTTTGAATAGCCGTAATGTACAGTAAGTGGATTGTATACTAGCTATTCATGTTATTATTAAAATCTCAATTGTGTTTCTGCGTCTGAATAAACACTGTATATGCAGGCAGTTTACGATATGTATTTTAACTATTTACTACCGTATATTTGACGTATTTTTGCGTTTACTGAATGAAAAAAACCGTGAACGTTATCCATTTTGAGAGACCTGTAGGTGGTGAGTAAGGATCCAGAATACCAAAGTTTCACGGCATCGAGACAATACAGACGTGAGTACGAAAAATGTTTATTTGAATAATGCTCTTCGAAGCGGGTCATAAGTTGAAGAAATAATGCTCGTTGTTATGACTGTAGGGTGAGTGNGGGTGATTGTGTCGAATCGGACCACTCGGCCTTGCTAAAAGTTAAGGGGACGAGTAAGAAAAATTTTAGAAGACCTTATACTAGTTTACTGGTTTCCCAGGAACGTTTTGCTGGATCCTGTGGATTTATGGTGTTTCGTTATGGCAAACCGTCTTTTAAGTACAATAACAAGATTTTATTATTAAAAGTACCTTTCACCATTTGAAAGCGAGTTCTACTGCATTCGGCTGAGTAGAGTTTGCGTTGAATCCTGGAAATTGTTTTCATGAATGCTGGGTTTTCTTGGTGAAAACTAGGAATATCAGGAGTGGAATGGAGGGTGACCTGTTCAGGACCGGTTTGAATTCATATAATAGTTGGCCATGCCATTCGATGCTGAATAGATGCCTTGGGAGCAGGGATGCAGTACGCAATGAAGTCGTTGAAATGACTTCAATTTTTATGCAGAAATGCAGTATGATAAAGACCTTGCACGGAAAATATCTGTTTATGAATTATCCATAGACATAATATTAATTCGAATAGTAAGAGAAAAGTAATTGATGGGCTATTCTCAGTGTCGAATGCAGGTTCTTTT